ATTATTCTTTTTAAATTAATGGGACAAATTAATAAACCCAAAGTAGCCACATACTTTTTGCAAGCAACATTTGTATGAACGAATTACATTGTGGATTCATTTCACATTAGTCCAAAAAATTTGATTGAAATTTTCTAAGCAAAAGCTATTATCATCTGCTAATCTTAAGTGTTTTTTGTGCTTTCTTCTTAATGAATTACCACTTAAATAAAAGTGTTATCTTTTAATAAAAATTAAAGTGAGTCATTAGATCAATCAAGACTATAATCTACATTGGTTAAATTGCGTAGGAACCGTGATTATATCTGCACTTATGTTTCTTTTTGTTCGAATCAGCTCTGTCAAAGGTTAGATTTATGGGTACAGTTTGGCTCAGGCCTGACACGGCGTTTATGCTCTGCCACGGTGCAGTTTTATGGTCGTATCGGCAATTCCCGACTTCCATTAGTCTTCGAACGCTTAGCACTTTTCTGCCGGACGCCCTGGCCTCAGATAAAAGCTTTACTCAATGGAGCAGAATTACACGAGGATCCTGCACCTGGTGGAGTCCTTTCGACGGTAAGCTCTGAATCCTCAGAAAATGCCACCTCTCCTCTAGCAGAAGTGCTGCCCTCTGCCGGTTGCTGCTTTGCTGCTGGGCTCCCACACTTCGCTGAGGGTATGTGGCGCAATTGGGGCCGGGATACATTCATTGCGGCGCGTGGTTGCCTCCTCTTGGTCGGACGCTTCGAAGTAAGTCCCCTTTGACAATGTGAACTATATTCCAGATTGAATGCTCTTTGTGTGCATATAAGACCATTGGTGTGTATTATATGTCTTAATAAGTTCATCAACTCGTTTTAAGTTGCATTTAAAAATTACTTTACATGTCATTTAACGACAAGTGACTGAAATACCTTATTTTTCCTTATGTAGCTGCCAAAGTATGCCATTTTTTGGTTAAAACGATTTTGGGACATTTTGGATCCATTATTTTTATCACCAAATTTTCCTTTCTTTTTGATTCAGACTTCATATTATGTTTTGATGGAGAAGTACAGTACCTTATTTAAAAAAATAGGGATTCACTTGAATCTTGGATAAGATTACTTGCAAGTGATTGGTTCTATTTTCCCTCATAAATATACTAGCCCTAGCAGTGGTGTAGGCCTTTTCCTACGATTTTTTTAAAGTTAAGAATTACTAAGGCTGTTTCGAAATGTACTGCATACCACGACTATCTATGCCTCAGATATTTCATTTCGATGCATGATCCTGCGATTCTTTTTCAAGCAAAATAGACATGCATTCATGGTATGTTTCTACTCACACCACTCGATTATTTTATTTTTACGTTAGAACAAAGCAGTAACATATTTTTCATAGAAGATTGTAGACAAATTCCTTGTCTTTTGATTACATTTCAACTACAATCTTTGGCTAGAGGGTTTTCAAAATTCACGTGAAGGATTTTTCCGGCTTAACTTGGCCTTGTTTTACTTCAAAACGACTTTTTCAGTTCATATCACGGGTCTTTATTTTAACTAAGGTCTAATCAAATCTTAGAATTACTTTTTTCAACAATTCTGCTAAAAGCACGTGATCCAAATAGATGCTATAGTTCTAGATAATTCGGATCTATCCCAATATTAAGCAAGAGCTTGCTTTGTCTTTTTGTGCAAAGTATAACGCTGATTGGCATGTACATAATAATATATCAGTTTTTATATAATCGAAGTGTAAATGTGTTTAGATTAATATCCTAAGCTAAAATGGTTGTGGTGGCTTTCATTTCATGCAAAATTGCCCGATGATGGGATTCATAGATTGCTCCCGCCATACGGTATTGGGTTCCATTCAAATAATGGTAGATTTTTCAAAACAAAGTTAGAATCAACCGATAATCATCTGATTCAATGACAGGGACATTCAATGGATGAATGATGAAAATCTATTCCTTCACCATCTTTTGGGGCTTTGCATACACCAGGCGATTGTCTTACTAGGATGAAAGTTAATGGCTATTCTTTTAATCGAAATCGATAGTTAATGAGATTTTCACAAATTTGGCCTAATTTTTATCTGCACGCCTATAATTTTGCTTCAACAATTTATAATGTATTGGTGCCTTGGAATTCCATCTCAACACATAATTTTGTCTTTTATTTTTAAGGTTTTAGCTTTCCTATCTTTTGTTTTTCATCTTCGTCACACGGTCAATTTTTGATCACCAATGGCGGTTGCTAAACAAAGAGTAAAAATTAAATAATTAATCAATAAAATAGGGGCGAGGAGTGATGCCATAACGGTTAAGGGATTGCCTTCATTAGCCTTCCTAATAGAACTGATACCGAGTTATTTGTTTATGAGCATTATCAAATTATAAAATCTTTGTTTACTATTTATGATAGCACTATAATTCGTACTATCCAATAAATGAACATATATATTAAATTCACGAAATTTTAATTGCTGGTAGGCCGAATTTTTTCTGACATGATTTTGATGCAAAAATGTTGTTATCATCCATGTTGAACCGCAATTTCTACTTCACCTAGGTCTCATCAGCACCTTCAGCGGGACTTGAACTGGGATAGTGCAGCTTATAGTCTTGACATGTCAACCACTAGGCAACACTGCCACGAGTACCCTCAGATCACAAAGCAGAAGTCAATTTTAAGTAGGATTAGGCCTGTCCCATACCATCTTCCTTGGTGGGATTGCCGATGAAGCAAAGTTGTATTTGATATAGCAATAGGCTTACATTACTTATTTTTTTCTAAGTCGGCTTTTGAGATTACAAGTGGATCTTGAATAAGACTTATGTTCACCCTATTTCGTTTAAGCTGCATTATTCGGGTTCAAGTCCCGCTGCTCTTGCTGATGGGACCCATACTAAGCCGAAAGATCAGTCTACTCTTCCAGCAATTTAACT